TGGTTCATGCAGACAATTATCAAACACCATCAGGATAACCTCTGCCCTCTCAACATTGCCTTTATGGACGTGAAGAAGGCCTTCGACTCTGTGTCCCACCAACCTATGTTGCTTGCAGCCGCTCCTTTAGGGGTTCCACCACCTTTCCTGGGCTAGCTGCTTGAGCTGTATAGCGATGCACAGACTAGACTAAGGATCAGCACCGAACCGAGCGATCCAATCAAGTTGGGGGGGGGGGGGGGGAAAGCAAAGGCACCCGGGGAACCCCCTTTTTTTTAAATCCCATGTTTTTTTTGGGGCCCGCCACCTTTGGTCGGGCCCTGGAAAGGGAATTGGGGGGTGCAAAATAAACCAAAAACCATTCCTAAGTGAAATTTGTTTAATTTAAAGGACCCCCCACTGGATTCAGGCCCCGTCTAAGTTATAACGTCTTCATAGATGACATTGTGTTAATCGCAAGGTCCCTAGCTGGACTTCAGGCACTGGCTAATGATCTGGCCAACCAGCTCATGCTGTGTGGAGTGGAACTTAGTATCAGTCTGCAAGGAAATTCAGTGAGTATCTGCCTAGACATAGATTGCAGAGCGAAGAAGTTGATCGTGTATCCACACCCCTACCTTCAGGTACAGGGAGAGTTAATACCAACTTTAACTGTTAGCCAAATCTACAAGTACGTAGGCCTTAACATCTCCCCACAAAGTACAACGGCGAACGTTGCAGATACGCTGAAGCAGGGGCTAAGTAACATCTCTACAGCCCCGCAGAAGCCGCAACAGAGGCTATATATCTCTAGTTGACATCTGGTTCCAAAGCTACTCCACCAGCTTACTCTGACACCGTCATCTTCCAAGTACTTGAAATGGCTCGATCGAACTATGCGATCTTTTTTCCCACCTTTTTTCATGCTTCGGACTCATGCATTGCGCACTGCAAGGCATGACAACAAGGTTGATCTGGTAATGTCTGGTGCAGAAAAGATCGGGTACAGTATCCGCCGTGAACCAGGGATACCAACTCCAGCAGGTATTCGAAGGCCGGACCTAGTCCTAGTACACAATAGTGACCTAATAATACTGGACGTTACAATGGTTGCAAACAATGCAGACCTTGAAAAGACCCACAATGACAAGCGAGTCTATTATGATGTTCCAGCCATTAGACAGTGGGTCCAACTATGCTTTGAGCCTAGGCACATTGCCCTTGTGACTCTGGCTATGAATTGGAGGAGTCTGGCCACTAAATCTGCTGCGGCATTACGAAGGCTTGGACTGAGCACGCTGTTCCTTTGCCTAGTTTCAGCTGTGGCTCTGGAGCGTGCGACCTGGATAGTTAATCATTTCAGGCACTCGACCTACACCATAAGGTCTGGATGACGGCACTTAATTTGTGCTTGATGTAGCCCTGAAAGCAGCCAGTATTTGGCGGGTTAAGCTTCCCATACCATCAAAAAAGCAAACTCTTCAGGCCCAATGGGCTTAATGAGACATGAAAGCAAAGGGAACAAAGCATGAAGAAAGTTGTATGGTGAGGCTGCACGAGATTCACGCAGGTGCAGAGTGGGTGGATGAAGTGGTTTGAGTCAGAAGAACATTGTACCATTCACTGTGCAAAGTCATATGAAATAGCCATAAAAAAGAAGCTAAATAGGTACTTCATGTAAGACAAACATTTTTTCGCTAAGATGGAGTAACAGTACCACTGGCCAGTTTTATTGACAGCGCCCCTGTGAAGAAACAACCAAGAACCCGGCTGAAGAAAAAGGAATCACCTTACGAAGAGCAGAACGACCCTACGACGGATTGACCTACCCTACGAAGCACAGTCCAACCCTATGACGAACTAGCCCAATCTACAATGAACACAATGACCCTACGATACAGTGACCTACCCTACGAAGAACAGGGCGATCCTACGACAAAATTGAAAAACTGCCTCGACCTACAGTAACCAACCTTACAAGAAACTACACCACCCTACCAAGCATAGTTCAAACCAACCAGCAAAGAGGTTACCCACCCTATGTAGAACGACTGTCAAGCAATATGGCAGAAGCTAGTGCGATCACGGTGGATGAGCTGCTTGTGGAGGTGGTCAGAGCATATCCCACCCTTTATGATAAAGCATGTCAAGACTTCAGAGACCGAAAAAAGAAGGAATTAGTGTGGCAGAACGTTTCTCAAAAGGCCGGTTTTCCCTCAGGTACAAGTCATACAAATAAGGCTACGTGCAAACAGGAACAACATTGTTAGCAAAAACCTCCCAACATTTTTTAATGTTACATGTTGCGTTCATTTGCACACCCTGTTGCATGCCGTTGCGGAAAGTTTTAAACCGGTCAAACTTTTCAGCCAACAACTCCCAACATTTCTTTTGTTCTGTGATTGCCGAAGCAAAGCGCAACAATATTGGATCCGTTTCGCAGCTCTTCCAACATTGTTGGGGCCACGCATGCTCATTATGCATGGTCTCCTTGGTTGTATCCTTCCCATGATGCACTGAAGGTCCCGGTCCGGTTGCGAGTTGTTGCATCCGTTTGCTCACCACTGCCAACATGCACCCAACAACTCCCAACGTTGTTGGCATTACAATGTTGGCAGTTGTTGTGTGCGTTTGCAAGTAGCTTAATATGTAATATAGGCTTTTGCTGGACATGCTTCCTGTTGTAGTTGGGTTTATGCAAAACAGTTTTCTGAGAAACAAAGTATTTGTGCTTGATAAAAGTTCGGGGGTGGCCCATGGTACCCAAATACCCGACCTCCCCCACGATCCCACAAAATTTGCATAAACATTCAATTAAAAAGGAAAAAAAGTCGCAGCTTCCAAAAAACTGGTATCTTCTTCTTACGCAATAGTAAAATTACAGTCAGATATTTATTTAGTCACAATCTGTAAACAAGGATTGTGCACCGCCTGGGAGCCGCCAACATGTATAAACTGCAGCACTGTTGCTTTTATCTTTGAAATTTGCCTCCTTTCAGGGCATATTTCTACATTGTTCTCTTTTTTGGTTTTTGGTCAAAATCAAACATTTTCTGAAGCGCTAATATCCAGGTTTAGAAAAACAGGTCCTTTGTTGCTGGTCCTGTTTGCGTGCGCTTTGAATCCACCAGGCGATTTTTTGCTCATTTGGGCCGACACTAAACTGATTTAGAAAAAAAGCACTAAAATTACATTATCAAGCGAAATACAACCGCTTAATCAACTTAACTAATTTCATTGGGTCTTTTTGTGCCTAAATATTCATCTCATTTTTGTTCCCTAAATAGAAAAAAGGGACGTGGTATCCGCATATTAAGTGGGTGTCCATAAAGCCGGGTTTAACTTAGCCTGCTAGCATAACGGTTTTGGTTGGGCACGCTAAGTAACAAAGGCGGGTGAGGGCAGAGAAACCGCGAGGAGACAAAACCGCCATGCTACGAAGGCTAGGTTTAACTGTACAATGAAAGAAAACAATTTCTTTAAAATAAGAGTATGTCTGACAAAGTGTCGCCTAATACCCCTTTTGATTCACATAAAAACTGAGAAATTCTCTTTTTTTTAAATTCTACTAAGGCTCAATAAATTTGCATCTTGAAATCTCAGTGCTGCTCTGCTCACTGGTTCTGTAAGGATATTTGACACTCCGGCTTCTTCCAAAAAGTGGGAAACGCTGCACTGGTGAGTAACCTATTGATCATGGCATTGACTGCAGAAGATATGGAGAATGAAAGTCTTCTGCCGCTTTGATCCTGGTACTAGCTACTCCATTCTCCTGAGCACAAACAGACGTTTCTCCTAGCTCATCGCCGATCTTGAAAATGTGATGTACGGACTGTGATGATGGGTTTCATTTATTTATTGCCCCCGCAGGGATTTCGCCCGGAAGGCGAAATCCCTGCGGGGGCACTCTAGTATCTTGCGTATATTAAGGAAAGTACTTACAGTTGAAATATACAGTCATACAGTCAATATAGAAAAAATCTCAATTTGCTTGAACAGGGGCCGGAGCAATCGGTAGGTAATGATGACGTTTCTATTGTTTACGCATGCGAGTACGAAATGGTTAGGATAACATAAAGACAGAACATCCCCAAGGGACCGCTCAGGTAGATTTGTGACATTTATTGTGCAGTCATACTTCAACACTATTTTGCCTTACGTGTTATCAGTGACATTCTGTGGAGCAGTTGTTTCAGTGAAAGTTATGGACCAAAATTTTAACGACACTCATTAAGCGCAGAAGAAGTTATGAGGTGCGTATAACTAGACATGTATATATAACCACTTGGAGAGTTTGCCAGACACGAGTTCACAAATCTTTCATTGGAAACCTTTCTCTCTCTTTGACCGGAATAAGACTCAGCCCCAAACAAGCAAGACGAGTGAACAACGGCTAGCTTCTCACTAGCAGAACGATGGACGATTACAGAAATTCGCCAACAATAAAATTCTGTCCAGAGTTATTCTCTGGGACACGGATGTCCTTGCGCTATAAAGTTTAAAATAAGACTAGAATGCGCGAGTGTGAATTGATCAAACGTNACAGTGACGGTGGTGGGTTTGTTCATCCGCTCGCCAAACTTGCCCCAGAAACTGTTCAGCATGAGCTTGGCCGTGGCCTTGCGACCGGGATTTTTGGCAATGCTGGCAATGTCCAATCGAATCCCCTCCCGTTCCTGGTAGCGAAGAATGTACTCGCGTTTTTGCTCAAGGGTCTGACACCAACTGGGCCACCCCGCGGATTCTTGTTTGAGTTTGAGCCAAGTATTGACGTAATCAGCGAAAAGACCCGTTTGACGTTGCTCAGGGGGAAAATGCCAGACTTCGTGGATCTTGATCAGGGTGTACCCCTTTTCCACAGCTTTGACCAGTTCGGGCGTACACCAGGTCCCGCGTAGCGTGCGATCCGTGTCCGAATGAGGGCAAAACTGGGTTCGGGTCAACATGGGTTGGGCTTGCTCAGTCTGGACACAGGCACGGCAGAGAGGAAAAGTGAGCTTTTGGCCACAGCGTACAGGTAAGACGGGGTGGAACAGACCAGCGGGAGGC